TCTCATGGACCAGCTCACCACTCTCATTATCAGGATTCTCATGAAGCATCCTGAACTGAATTATTACCAGGTAAGGATGTTTTGGATAAGTTTTATACCTTTGCTGTGATTGCTTAACCTGTTTAAACAAGGAAAATATAAATTCAGTGTGGTTTTGCTTTACTTATTCATTTATTTATTTTCTGTTTTTATCCGTATTTATGTTTTTTGAAGTATATATATATATGCACTAACAAATCAATTACTGGGCATATCTACCCTCACCTGTTTACCCCAGTCCTTGGATTTTCAGAAATAATTAGGTTTATATTTGTTAATATTTTTGTTGCTTTGATATTGTTGCCGTAAGGATTGTTGATATTATTGTTGTTTTGTTTTTTGCTGTTGTTGTTGATATTGATTACACAAACAGTGGGAATATGGATGAAATAGTTTCCTATTAAGATTTAAGGAACCGGATTTATAGTTGGGATCAGGTAAGCCTTGTAGTTGTCTCTGCTGTTAGTCCACTAAAGCCTTGTGGAACCAAATATGTATAAAAAGAGAAATAGATAAAACAAAACCATAACAGACATTGCATGTAAACACGCACTTTCTTTTATCAGTGGTTTAGAATGTTTTCTTTTCCTCTCTTTCTTTTTTGTCTAATTGGCATCAGATTAATTATTTGTAATTCTTGAATAATATTGTATTCATTTTTTAGTAACAAGTTTGTGTTCTTTTTCTTCTCCTTTTTGGTGGGAGGCAATCAGAGCATGAGTTTTGACTGACAAAGATAGATTCAGAAAAAAAAAGTCATAACCTGAACAAAAGCAGGTGCCTTGCAGCCTGCCAGCCCAAAATCCAGACATTAGGCTTCCTGGAGTGGTGACTTCCAGGTGTGTGGCTTGCAGGCCTGGATCTTGCAGTGTCAAAATTCCTTGCCCCCTTTTGCACTGTTACTGTCATTATTTCTACAAAATGTCTATATTTGTCACTTGATTTCTGTCACTGTTGTGTGGTCAAACAAGTAAACACTGATAGCGTACAAAACTAGTTGGATGTGGTTGTGTCATGGAAATCACACCGAAAATACAGTAGTGGGTTCCATAAGTAGCTAACAGGGAGTGCAGTGTGTAGGCTGGGTGTGACAAAACTCTGTGCCTCCCCATTGCAGAGTTATTTTTGTGTGAACTTTTTTAGCCTTTTTGCCATTTTCCAATGTCCATAATTGTCTTTTGATGGTAATATCTTATTTTCCTTGCACAGACTCCATATCATTACTATGCAGTAAATAATGTAGAAAATTTGGTCATATGTGTCATATATCTCATTTTTTTGTTATCATATTTCCATAATACAACCTGCACCGCCGGTCACAGCGGCCAGGAATATGGTGCACATCATGGAAATGGTGTCCTCCCTGGTGCAGGCGCTCTTCCAGTCACGGCTTATACATGTTACATCCCACATTCATTAATTAATGTGAATAATGCTAAAGCTTCCTTCTAATGCCAAACGAGTCAAATCACACTCCAAGAGTCTTTTCCGTCACCTTGCCCTTCACTCATGACGACAAGTTGGCGTCATCTGGCCCATGACCATTTTACCTTATGACGGCATGCTCATGTCACCTGGCCCTTGACCCAGATTTTTCCATGACGGGACCATAATGTTACTCAGATCATCATAGGGTTTAAGCATGCTCAGAACACATGGCATTATTTGCATATTCCACCAAGAAAGGAGTTCAGTCATGCCATAATATGTTCTGTAAATGCTATGCTTTAGCAAGGGAATGATGTTTAAGAAATAAAGATCTTCATGAAGCAGATACAAAAGGGTGAAGAACAGAGATCACTATTCCCAAAAGGAGAGTGTTTGTTGAGGTTATTATTGAAAATTTGGAAAAAGACTGGCTGACCTTACTAATGCACTATTTGATAAAAAAAAAATAATAATAATATTAGTATAGTAATCTAATGCACCAATTTGTTGAATATAGATGTATTTTCATTAAAAAAAGATAAATTTTATTTTAGATGACACCTGGAAAAGTGTGCATTTACGAATGTATAATACTTTATGAATATTGTAGTCTGCTGCACCAACTTAAATATGGATGTATTTTGAGGTAAAAATTCAGTATAGATGATGAATGGCAAAAAGGTTCAAATAGAAATATCATGTTTTGCTGTCAGTCCTTTTATATCCAGAGTAAGACCCCAAGACACTCCTATTTTCATTTTGAAATCCCCATTTCTTTTCATGTGAATCAGATTTTTTGTTACTGAAGTCTCTGCCTTCGTTGTTATTTCATTATTGTCTTCTCTATCTTCTGTATTTGGATTTTTAGAATCCTTTTGATAGATTGATTTATCTTATGTACTGATGAAAGCTTCTGATTTGATTGACAGGGTTTTCATGATGTTGCTATAACATTCCTTCTGGTTATGGGTGAAGATGTTGGTTATGAAATGGTGGAGAAGCTCTCCGTCACACACCTGAGTGAGTTCATGCGGCCGACAATGGAGAAGACCACCTATTACCTCACCTATATATATCCCATTCTTCGAAGGGCAGACGCCAAACTCTACCAGTTTTTGATAGAGTAAGACTTAATTTTCTTAATTTTTGGAGAATATTAATTTTTCTTAATGCCTTTTCTTTTAAGACAATAAATTTCTAGTTTGTATTTAATAAAAATGGCTTGTGGGTTTTTAAAAAAAAAAAAAAAAAAAAAAAAAAATTGTTGTTGCTTGGCATTGGAGTTACTTTTGTTGATTAGATGTTGGGTCAAGGCAGTTGGTCAACAAGATACAAATTTCCCACAAGGGTTTAAAGATAGCTACTCTGAAATTGATTGGTGTGATTTTTTTTTCAGAGCATATTGAGACCAGAAGTTTTATAATGTTGTATTTTTTTTCCAGTTCAGGTGTAGGAACAGTGTTTTGTTTGCCCTGGCTTATTACATGGTTCGCTCATACACTTTCTGACTACCGCAATGTGGTGAGGTTATACGACTGCTTCTTGGCTTCCCCTTATCTCATGCCCATGTATATAGCTGCAGCAATTGTTTTACACAAGAAAGAAGATGTTTTAGCAGGAGAATGTGATATGGCAATGCAACATTTTATTCTTTCACAGGTGAGTAGGTGCATGACTCTCATCATGGAAATGTTTACTGTTCAGTGGCCATTTATATATATATATATTTTTTTTACACTATCAAATCAGTTATAAGATACCTAGGGACATAAAGTTTATTGATGTTTTGCCAATACAGTCTTAGTTTCTGGAGTGTACAAACAAATGTGTGATCTTCCTGAATATGCATTTGTCCTAATCTCTTCTTACAGTTACTTGTATACACTCACAGCAACACTCTCACTCTCCCACATTTAAGATCCTCATTCACCTTCACATTCATTATGATTATTTTCCCAACACCAACACTTATAGTCCCACACTCAACACCCTCATACACCCTTGCACTTGTACTTGTGCATATATTTGTGTACTGATACTCAGAAACTCTTTGCACACCTCATTTGCCTGCTGCATCTTTTCCCTTTCTCTTTCACTTTCCCCTCCCTTTAAGAAACTCTTCCATGGAAATTTAATTTTTGGTTTATACTATCTAGACCCTGAAAGAATTAGAACCACAATGCGTTGTAAGTACTTTTCAAATCAGATGTCAAGCAGTCTTTCTTTTTTATAATTATTGTAGTTGTTGATATTTTTTCCATCAATTTTTCTTTCTTTCTTTTCTCTATAAACAGGTTCCTGATACATTACCTCTGGAGCGCATCCTAGTAGATGCAGGGGAATTATATAACCTTTATCCGCCTGACACTTTACAAGAGGAGGTCAATGAGTTTCTGCAGAAAAAGTGAGTAGGGTTTATTATTTTGATTTTTTTTTTTCCCTTATTACTGTTATTGTTATTTCTGTTTTGTTTTTAAATAGCATTATTATTGTTGTTTATAATGTTCATGGGTATAGTTATTGCACATATTGTAAATTTTTGTTTATTAGGTATTTGTATTAGTAATATGAATAATAATAAGCACTATATACAGTATACATTTTAATTATATTATAATTCCTTTCAATAGAAAGTTTATTTTATGCAATAATCTCTCCTTATTCACCAAAGGGCTGAAGAAGAGAAGCTGGAGAAGCAGCAAGTCCTTGAAAGACGCAAGAAGTTTGAAGCAGCACGAAGAGGTCAGAATTACCGGGGGATCCTTGCAACAGTGTTCAGATACCTTCCACTGGTGCCAGCTCAGAGGAATATGCTCGTCAAGGTGGCCGCCTTTGCGGTGACTGCATACATTGCCACTAGCCTTTATAGCTACTATTCCAATTCAGCTCTTGTGTTTCCTTTTGTAGCAAAACGATGATAATGTAAAACAATGCATAGCTCTTAGTTCCTAGTCAGTTTCATCACCTAGTCTTTCACTCTGCTCGATTATTTGAAAGAAAATTTGAATGATGGGTAGTAAACTTTATTATCTTTTTGCTCTGTAAACTGATAAAATAATGGAAGAAGTATGTTAAATGTATATAACATAATTATATTGTACAGAGTTTTAGAGTTTTTTTTTAGTATTTTCAGAATATATATTAGCATGTCAAATTTGTTATATTCAGGGCTCATAATTTAGAGTTTTTGTAAAGTTTACTATGGAATAAAGTGGTTGTTTAATCTCCATTTTATTTTCCTCAAATAATGCAACAGTCTTATAAACAATTTGATAATTTAACTGATCAATAGTTTCAAAGCACCATAAAAAAATCTCATCAAACTTGCCTTGCTTAGAGAAAAATATACATACTTGTAAATAAAGTTTTCTGCACATTAAAACTAAGAGGGAAAATCCTACTTACAGTCCTATATGTTTTCAGTCTATACCAACATACCAACACCACTGACATATTCAACATTATGTACATATCACTGAAAATATAACAGATGCAATATATTACACACACATTTTTCTCTAAATATCATGTCT